TATTGTCTGCAAAGAGAACAACCTCCCCATTTGTTATATGTTGGGATAAATCATTTATGTATAAAAGAAACAAAAGCGGGCCCAATGTAGGCCCTTGCAGTATTCCAAATTTTGTATTCCTTATCGAACTAAACCGATTTCTTGAGTACTTATTACCATTAGATGTTATTTCAACATACCGAGAACGCATTTTCAGATAGGATTTTAACCAATCATTAATTTTTCCTCTTATTCCATAATGACCAAGTTTTTCTAGCAGAATATTATGATCTATAACATCATATGCTTTTGAAAGATCGAAAAATATACCAACTGCAGTTAACCTATCCAGAGCTTCCTGTATATTACCAATAAATGTCTGACACACCGATATAGAAGACTTATTTTTTTGAAACCCATACTGATTTACCGTTAAAATCTTAAATTTACTAATAAAAGATACCAGTCTATTATACACTATTTTTTCTAAGATTTTAGAGAATATTGATATAACCGATATAGGTCTATAGTTACTAATTTCTTGTCTATTACCCTTCTTAAAGACCGGTCTAATTTTAGCTATTTTAAAAAAATCAGGAAATACCCCTTGATTTATAGATTCATTAAATATAAACCTAAGAGGTTGTTTTATACATGTAATGCATGCTTTTACTAAAAAATCTGGGACTTCATCTACTCCTGAAGAGGCTTTTCCTTTTAATTTAGATGTTATTGAGACTATTTCTTCTTCAGAAGTTGGAAAAAAATACATAGACTCNTGTCATTTTGTCTTTTTTTGGCTTCTGAAATAACTCATTTATAAATTTTATGATATCTATTAATATACCCCAGCGCATTCCTTGAAAGTGACATCCTTTGTTTCAATTTATTTAAAAACCGCATTTTTTGACAGGAAACCTTTATTCCTCTGGATATCCATGCATTATTCTTGTTGTTTTTCTTCATTATTAGTTTCACTGAAAATACTCTATTAAAATGATATAAAAACTTATTTATAAAGTTCATTTACATTCTTCTCCATATAAATTTCCTCCCATGATTCATTATTTAAGATATCTATGAACTTATCTACATTCTCTTTAGAGTATTTTCTTTGCAAGACCTTTTTTAAATCAACCTTACGTAAGTCTACATACACCTTTAGAATCTGAGCCAAATGGTCTGAAAAACTAGACAAAGACAAGATTTGTATCTACCTCAAGCTAATTTAACTATGTATCAAAAAGGAATTTATTATGCGGATATAAAAATATTTAATAAATTGCCCATAGAGATCAAGAACACATCTAATAATTTTAAAAAGTTTAAGGTTGTATTAAGGCATTTCTTGAACACTCATATATTTTATACTGTGAATGAATATCTAAATAAATAACTTTTATTGTTGTTGTATTCACTGTACTGTCTAGTTGTGTAATAACTGCGTATGTATTCTATGCTTATATTATTTTATGACATGTTCTATATCCATCTTTGGATCTCTTGAACTTACAATAAATACAAATACAGAGTATTGGTACAAATATGGAAACAAAGCTTTACTTCTGGTCTTTCAAGTTATGGCCAATGAAAGAGAACCTGTCATATCACTATACTACAATGTGCCAATCTGGTAACAATGAAGCCATTTTAATTGCAAGATCCCATTTTAGGTTGTACACAAATGTATCACCTCCTGCTAATATGGCTCCCCATACTCCATATGTGCCATAGTCAATAATAGAATGGTTACATGCAGCCATGATGGCTAGGTCCTGTTCTGGAGAGTTGTTCTTCATCACTACAACATCATCATCAGCGAGCTCATCTTCACACCATTTGGGTTCATCACTCAGCACCACAAACATGACTGATTTGTATTTAATTCGAAAATAGTTCATTTGCTTCAGAAAGAATTCAGATTTCACTAAGGAAGCATTATACTTCCTCTTCAAATATTCACTGTAATCTGTTCTTCTGACATGAACACCCACATACACTACATTCTTCTCTCCATCTGAAGCCTTTTGTAGGAGTCTTTGACTCTCTTTTACAATATGTTCCTTGAACTGAAATATCTGTTTAACATCATTCAGCAAAGGCACAACATATTCAGGTAGCTGAACATAATTTTGTAACAAGATGTTCCCATCCAGAAGTGTCAAGTTGTCCACCTTTCCTTCTACAGGGTATGTCTCTAAAGTACAATTTGCAATGCATGACAGTGGAGGAACTGTAAGATTCTGGAAGATCTTTTCTAGTGTTTGGATGAGACAGCCTGGAATATAAGGCTCATGGTCTGTAACCTTGGCCACAGCCCAAACAGAAATGTATTCCCACATCTGGTTGCCAAGGCGCCCTAATTGTCTCACAGTCACTATAGGTTTCTTTGGACACTGAACTCTATGGCAGGATGCCACTTCAATAGGTTTCATTGGTGAGGAACAAAGGGAATGCTCATAGGCCAACATTTTAGGTTCAGAATATGTCCATAATGTTGCTGTCATGAATACCAGTAAAATTATGAATAATGTTAGGTATATTGTCTTTTTATTCAGTGTCAAGCAAACCAATCTTCGCATTTTATGGAGCTACTCCACTGAACCTGATGACACTGAAGTGTTTATTTGTGGAACAAAAGCTGTGAATGAAAATTTCATGAGTCAGTATTAGAACTTGGTTTATATTATGACAGATGGAACATTAACACAGATGAAAGAGTGTTTACCTACAGTCTCTGAAAAGAGAAGCACAATTAATGGGTCAGTTGCACTGTAGAAAAATTTGATCCAGTTTCCTACCACATGATTGATACAGGTGATTAATGATGATCCAAAATCATTTATGATATCATGTGTGACTAGACATGGGGTTGACTGATAACTGGATTTGTTGAACACTTAGAATTCACGACTACAAATAATTATAACACTACTGCTAATCAACACATTTAACAAATACCTGCTCTGAACACAAGTCAGAGTCAACATTGTGTTACAACTGATGGTCAGTCAGTCAGCCAGTCTGTCTTGCTGTCAAGCTCGATCTTAGGCCCCAAGACCAGATTTCTGTTACTGTCACACAGTTGTGGGTTTGTTGTTGTGGGACACCCTTTCTAATGAGGATGGGTCTGTTGTTTACAATTGCTACACACAAATTCAACAGGAATCCAAAACATTATAAAGTCTGCCTACAAGAAAATATTAAACTGTTAAATGGAACTGCAACAATATTGGAAATGTTTGATACTCAGCACAAAAATCTTAACATCAGAAACAATGTGCAGGCGAAATTCTTCCCATACATCAACTAAATAGGTTTCATAATTCTTCCGATTTAAATTCTGACACTACACATTACCTTCTTAGTGACACTACCATCAAGAAACATTATTTTTGCAAAATATCTGGGGATGATAATGATTGGTTCTCAGGTTATTCAGCGATTCTGTACTAAATCTTGAGGTCTTTAAATGTGGTAATACTGATGTATAGTCTGGGTCTGCTTCACAATAATCACCGTATTTGCGCGTGTATAAGCTGAACCTAGATTGGTTGGTCAAGAATTTAGAATAAATAATATCCCACGAATAACTCGCACCTAATTTTTTTTTGACAAGAGCTTGGAATAAACAATATCTTGTGTACAAACCGAACCGGTGAGAATGAAATATTTGCGACTGCATTCACGGCACTTTGGTCGGTAGCAGCATTTATTCTAATTTGCCAGTAATGTCGCCGTCTTCCACCTTCTGAAAGTCTACAGTGTCGGCTACTTTCATGCAATAACATATTCCCATATATATATCAGTTAACACGCTGGTGACTTCGCGCTTGTGCAATAGCTTCTTCCAATTAAATCGCCTTAATAATTGATCGGTGTCTGTAACACACGTCCTGGAAAAAGAAACGGGGAAATGAAACTAGTTTGTTTGCAAACAGTATGGTTTGTGCAGCACTTGATGTCGTTGCGAAATCCTACCGTAGTCTAATCGGCAATAAGCAAGCCTGACGTAAATCAGGAAATTCACAAGACCGAAATTATACGTACCGCAACTGACCACGTGAGGGTACGACGACGACGATTCGACTTTGTACGAAACGAGTAACGGTACTTCAAATACTAACGGTCTCTACTGGGGATCTTACAACACATGAAGCCAGCATCGCGAGCTCCATCGGCTATATCACACCATATTATACCACCATTGCGGGTTCAATCATTGAAACCCCCACCCCACCCCGCCGCGGGATGTACTTTTTCACCAAAACACACAATGTTCCATGCATAAGACCCTGAACCCAAATTTTTAAACGTACATATTTGCCCAATACTAAACAGAAAACAATGGGATTGATTTTTACAGAAGTAAAAAATGTGAAGAAATGTGTCAAAATAGTACCAGAGTATCTCAACAGTATATAAAAAATAAGGATTAAAGAATTTTTTTATATCTTTCTTAAGGCCGCGTCATAGCTAAAGCGGTTAGTCGCCGGCTTCCCACCGGGGCGGCCTGGGATCGATCCTGGGTCTGGTCAAGTGGGATTTGTGATGGACAAAGCGGCACTGGGGCAGGTTTTCTCCGAGTACTTCGGTTTCCCCTGCCCATTCCATCAATTGCTCCACAATCACCCTCACCTATCATCTGGGGCTGGTACAATAGGCCAGAATTGGCCGCAGTACAAGGGACTTAGTCCCGCTCCACTAGCAATAAAAAAAAATATATATCTTTCTTCAAGAATGATAGAGGAACCCAAATTAAAACAAAATAGTGATTAGTGTTGAGACATGGATCTTCCACCATAGCCCAGAAATAAAACGCTAGCATCTCTAATGGAGAAATTCAGAGTCTCAGAGACAAAAAATGGGACAGTATTAAAATCAGATGTTAAAATCACGCTCATTTGGTTTTCTAATCCCAAAAGAATTATCTGTTATGAATCTGTTTCCTTAAAACAATGAAGAAAACATTGTAATTCCAAAGTTTTAGAATATTTGCTGTAGCAAATTCATGCGTTCATTGAAAAAGACCAAATCTTTGGCTGCACTAGTGAATCTTTTATCATACCCTTTCCACAGATAATTTTCAGTAAGGTAATATTTTGTTCTAAAATCAAATGGCCATGTTGAAACATTCATCATACTTTCCTTATTTGGCCCTGAACAACTTTTATGTGTCCCCCAAAGCTAGAACTATCATTAGTATGGTCTGCCATTATGCCATACTGCCATAAAAACCTCAAATGTAACATGAGATTACTGTTATGCTTCTAAGTAATGTTCACAGGTTAGTGAATCTTTCTGACCACTCCTAGCCAGAAATCACTATACAGGCATGCATAACTGTGTATTTGTTATCCAGCACATCTCACTAACACAGTGTTGCAGATGTTTCATCCTTAAATGATACAAATACCAAGCAAAAGTATTTACACCTTCACTGAAACCCACGGCATGCAGATGAAATCCATAATTTGTAATGTGAAAGCTCAAATCATTTGGTAGAAAAACTATCTGCCTCACCTCAGGAATCATAAATAAATATTTCTTCCATTCTTGACACTGCTCAGCCAATAATATGAAATGATCTTATATGTGTATTAAAGGTGGCTCATTATTCTAAGAAATAGAGAAATATCCACATGTTTAATTACATTCTTTTCAACACCAGCAAGACCAAAATTAATATTCCTTGCATAATTTAACATCCACACTTTTGATTCACAATTTTTGCAGTCCCAATAAAAATTAACAATAAGCAAGTATGTCCCTTTTGTGATAGTATAGTAACTTTCTGGACATGATTTGAAATATTGTCCAGATATACTCGTATTATTCCATCTGAGCTTCAGTCTACATGTGATTTGGCATTTTGCTTATGATCAGTATCACTGCAATGCATTTTTTTTTTACAAAGCTGAAGGCTTCCGTGACTTTCCAGCTGTTGGCCAACAACAATCCACCTATGACTATGCAGTATCAATTAATTCCAATCATGTACAGGCATGCATGTGCACACACTCCGTGCCATTCAAGTACCTTGAGGATGACATAAAGATGTTCTCTTTCAGCTCTTCTTCCACATGGGGATTAAATATTGTACACTTTCTCCTTGAAATTGTCCCATAAATAAAAGTCAAATGGCATAAGATGAGGTGAACATGCTACTCATATTCTAGCTCAGTCATTATTTTGTTCACTTTATCTACAGTGAGCACATGACCGTTCTTAATGTGTTTCTTATCCAGAAGTGAGCAAGTAGATCTGACATAACCCATCTATGAATGCCTGTTGTACTTGAAACTGGAACGAAGGGAATTTACAGCAAAAGTATCTCTGAAAGAAAAAAAAAAACCTCACATATCATATGATACATGTGATGCATACAAAGATACTCACTGTTTGACAGCAGATCAAGTCATAATGATACCAATTGCTTATAATGCAGCCTGACACTGCTGAAGCCTTATATTTAGTGACACAGCCAACATTAAGTTACTGCACATGTGAGCATGAGTCATTTCAGCACCATTTACTGATAGCTCTTAGCCTAAGTCATTCTATACTTACACTGAGGTTATCTTGTAAGACTTAGCTGAAGACAGGCTGTTAAGAATGATAGAAACAATCAACTGTATATTGAAGACACACTATACAAGGAAGATAAGTTGTCAAAAATGCTCTGGTAAATGTAAATTTTGCAACTTTTGATGAAACTACCAAGTTCATACAAATCTTGAAATTTACAAGTACACACACACACACACACACATATATGTAGGGATGTGGAAATTACTTTTACATTTCAAATTCTGCTTTAGAGATAAAAATTTGGCAAAGCAACGAAGAGAGGGTACATATTACATGAATATCCTTTTGCAAAAATATGCAAATATTTTATTTCTGTGGTAGGAATTTAATATTTAAGTCACAGAAATTTACTTAATAATATTTTCAAGATTACAGGCTGTCTAATGTATTTAAATCTGACCTCAAGTATGTAACTTAATAATAACATACACACTCTTGTCAGTAAGTGATTAATAAATTTGGGAGGGTAAGATATACTGACCACTGATATACTTAGAATGCATGCCTACAAAAAGTATAATAAATTTAAAGGATCTCAAAATATGCTGAAGAAATTCAAGTATTATCAGTGCTTGGTTTGACTTAAAATTTTGAAGTCACTTTCCTTAGGCAAATTGAACTTGCTGCTGTCAAGCTGATGAGAACAAGACTTCACTCTATCAACAGTAAATCTACAACAGGTATCAACCACAGAAATATTACGCCCATGTTTATCTAAAACTAAAATAATGGATGCACTGCATGAAAACTTCTAGGCCTACTTTTGTCAGAACATAAAACTTTATGAAATTAAATTAAATTAAAGCGCGATAAGGATTCTTATAAAAAATTAAAGTACATCAAACTATACTTTATTTGCAGTTTTGTATGGGTGTGAAACTTTGTCTCTCATATTAAGGAGAGAACACAGACTGGGAGAGTCTGAGAACAGAGTTCTGAGTAGAATATTTGGACCTAGGATGGATGAAGTAACAGGAGACCAAAGAGAACTGCACAATAAGAAACAACATAATTCCTTCCCAAATATTATTAGAAGGATCATCTCAAGGACGTTGAGATGGACATGTCATGTAGTATGCATATTAGAGAAGTGGCTAAAACGTTTTGGTAGTAAAACCCGAAAAAGAAAGACCACTAGGATGATCTAGGCATAGATGTAACTTTGACTTGAAAGGATTGAAAGAGGTGGACTTGATTCAACTGGCTCAGGATAGGGATAAGTGGCAGGCTGTTGTGAACATAGTAATGAAATTTCAGGTTCTATAACTGTTTTGAATTTCTTAAATAGCTGAGCAACCATTTGCTTCTCAAGAAGGGCTCGGTTCCATGGAGTTTAGTTTGTTAACTACTTCACACAATATATATTTCTGCCACTAATGAAACAAAAGACTACAGTCACTTTAATCCTTCATTCATGATATGTTTTGGCCATACACAGCCATCACCAGGTATCTGTCCCTATGCTAAACTGTTGTACTATAGTGCATGTGACAATTGCATATGGATAGTTATAGCAACACACACATCCCCTACTTATGCTATAAAAGCAGGAGAGATCACACTAAACACCCACATTAGCTTTATGCACACACCAGATAAACAATAATGCGATTCAAGCTGGGTGTGGGTCTACAGCCAAAGGGACATACGTGAGTATTAAAAAGAAAATTAACACAGAAAAACAAATTATATAGTAGTAATAGTAGTAGTAATGAAAACATGATGTGTTTTAAGGTTTTAAGATTTTAATGTAAATAACTTGTATTTGTATATTTTTATAAAAAAAATGTTGTACTAATGGATGTAAAAACACTCAATGTACGTGACACACAACAGCATGCAACACATAAAGATATTTTTTTTACATATTGCAGATAAGAGAAATCAACATTCACACAAACACCCATGAAATACACAAAAACGAACACACCCTTGCTGCCAAAGACTGGGCTAGTAGGTCCCATAAGAAGAATGGAATTAACAGTTTTTATAAAATGTAATAGGGTTGATCTATTTTAAAATTAATTTGTAACATTAATTTTAATTTTATTTAATTAGTCCTGATAATTAGCCACATCCAATTATGACGTGCAGTACAGTACAACAGCTGATGATGGCCATGTATGGCAGAAACATGCCATGAATGAAGAATTAAAGTGAATGTAAACTTCTGTTGCATTAGTGATGGAAATATATATTGTATGAGGTAGCTGATATATTAGTGCAACAGGATGCTTAGTTTATTTGGTCGATTGGTCGGTCGGTGAGTTAGTCTGTCAGTAGCCCATTACATCTTGGCTTGATTAAAAGGAAACACAAAACACACTACTTCAGCCTTACTGTACATCATCCTGATTTCTGAAAGCAAATTTTGTAGAACTGAGGAAGAATGCACCATAACCTTGTACTTACCAATAAATTATCCATAAAAGCTCTGTACATCTGGGGTTTACAACATGAATTCATTACTTCATAATTTCTTGGATGATTTCAATTTTAAGATTTTATCAAGGCCAATTTCTAACAAACGACATTAGCTGTTTGTGTTTTAGTTTGCTTCAAATTAAAATGGAGATACTTGTAATTATGAAATTTGACTGTTTACAATCTTATACTTTCTTACTGATTATTATTATTCTAAAGTGTGGAGGGACACTCTTTTCCACAGAATAAATATTATTTTAGTCCTATCTGTAGCAAATGAAGAGCCAACTTCCTATAAACGAAACACTTTATCGCCTATGGATAATGATCTTTCTCTTGCAGACAGTCATAGACTACTGTCAAGATCAATCCAACTCACTCTAATTATTCATGACGGGCATCATCTTTAAATGAAGTTGTAAATATTTAATAGTAACTTCTATAATAATATAATCCTCTTTAATTTTAAATAATCCAGAACATGGACTGGCCTCAATGCCCGTTATACGCTACCTTTTAAAATTTCACTTCTTCATGATATTGTTATGACATCATAAACGCACAACCTCTCAGACCCATTTATCAGTTATGGAGAATGAAAAGTGAAACAAAATTCATGCACATGTACCTGCATGTCTTAGAGACCAACCACACAGATACAGACAGGAGGACAGAGTTTCAGTGTTTTCTTCCTCACTTCTCCAGGAAAATAAAAGCCTCTTAATAATTTATTTTCAAGTATGCTCTTCAAATAAAGAGTTTAATGTGCACATTATCTGCATAATATAGGTCTATCTGTACAGGATTTTAATGACAATGCACAAAATAGTGAATGAGTATAAAACACACTTTCTCTCCAAAAAATAAAATAAAGTACTGTTTTCATAAATAGGCATGTAGGGCAAGATATTTTAATGACAAAACAGTAGACTGAAAGGATTATTTCCATTATGGTAACATTGGTAACATTTTAGCAGTCAACTGAAACCTGCACTTTATAATGATTATCCTGGCCTGTATATTCTGTCTACAAGCAAACCTGCATCATCATAGTACCATGGAAAATACTTTATAACCTCAACATAACATTAATATTGTGTTGTGATACAGGATTACTTATGACTAGCTATAAACTTCATGTTACAGTACCAAAACAATGCAACTCCTATGACATATCTGAAGCAGCATATGTTCTATGATGCCCTCAGGTTTCAGTGTAACCGAAAATTTATTAACCCTAGTGGTAAGTAAAATGGAAATACTGCAGTTTCTGTTATCACATCTCACTGCCAGTTTAGGTAACAACTTAGTGTCAAGTTCACTGAATGACATACTATATACACCCCATCCCACCCCTTCCTTAGAAAGTTGTAACTAAACAATCTACATTATCTGTAGTTTCAACAACCTATTAACTGAATAGGATTTTCACCCTGTAAATGTTCAAAGATTGTTCATGTATAGTACTGCACAATGCCTTCTTCCAAGAGCACAGTTACTCTTCACTTACATTGCATTTCTGCACACGATTATGTTTAACTATCATGTTTATGGAACATGATATCTAATTAATCATTTCCCATGTTTTGAAAACTCAGCCTTTTTCATCACAGAAACAGTTTGTTTAAAGTACTGTATATTACAATAATATTGTCTCTCATCACAAAATATACAAATGTTGACAATGCAAATTAAGTACAACCTCGCATACCTAATTTTGTTAAATATATAGGCACAAAGAGCCAAACTGTTCGAGGCAGATCATAGATAAGCACAGATTCCCAGGTGTGTCAAATAGTTTGCTGCATATTCACGGATCAATCAATAGATGCGATGAAGTGGAGAGACATGATGATAGAAGATGGTATTTCTCACCTACTACTTCCTCACACTTAAGCCACAAAAAATGGAAGTATATTCTCTCATTTCTTTGCCTGTGCTAGGTTTAAGTAAATATATTATATCTTTTGTAAGAGATTTGTAATATTTAACTTCATTATCTTTATAGTAGTCCAAGAAATTTAATAGTTTCTATATACATTCATCATCATGACAAAATGCAAAAATGTCGAGAAAATACTTATAGTATCGTACCATTTTGACATATTCTGACTTCTATTTCAGAGTTATGCAAATGATCTGAATTTAGAAATTAATTAATGTACAGTTTAATTCCCAGATATTAAAAGCATTCTTCAAAGGATACATAACATTTTTCTGGAACTGGAAAGAAAAACAGAAAGCTAAACAGTAATGTACTGGGTTATAAGTCTGCAGCATTTTTTAAGTGAATGTAATAGTTCTTCTCTGAATGCAAAATGTGAGAGAACAGTCTTTTTTTGAAAATACAGAAACATACCTTTTAAAATGGGAGACTGAGAGAAGAACAGGCCTGTAGTATAACAAGGAGCTGCAAAGGTCATGTGAGTGTCCTGTGGTCACAAGGTCAATATGAACTTAATAAGGACGCTTGAAAGCTGGCTAATTAACATAAGAATCTTCGCTCTCATCTACCCTTTTGCATGTGGAACAATGTTTTACCTCTCTGTCACTACCAACTGAGGGATAATCAGAGATGCAATTTAGAGTTGCATAAAGGGCAAGATTATGCATAACAGATCAGGAAATCTAAGATTATACTTAGCAGCAACAAAACATTTAGAGTAAAATAAGATCCCAATAAACAAAGAAATATTCTGCACAAAATCTCTCTCTCGATCACTCATACTATCATATCTGAACCCTCTCTGACAATCATAATTTATGCTTAAATCTGACAGATTATATAATTTTGGGAGGAAATGCTGAATTTGCCTACTGCATGGTTACAAACAAAATAGGCTAGAAATACCGTCATTATGCCCAAGAAATTATCTATTATATGGCCCAAGTATTTTAATGAAAACTATTTCCTGTTTCTCTACGAATAATGCAACTCATTCATAAGTGAAGATATTACATTTTCTCCCTGTAACAGGCACACACACATCCTAGGAACTCATCTACCACCAACAGTTTGTTGAACAGAGTCTTCATTTGCTGCATTAACTAGTATGGCTCCCTTTGCCAGTTGATACAGTTTCTCTATGTCCGATAAAATAAAACCAATTATATTAACAGTAAGAGTTCTATATGCTTCTTGTAAATACTTAATCTCCTTCTGAAGAGAGTATCAGAATGACAAAGTCTGGGTAAGTAACTAGGCACCAGCATGCTTAAAATTATTGATAAAAGACCCATAACCTTACTCTACTTATGTATCTACATATGTCACAATAACAATCATTTACAGTAATGTATATTAACTTAATAATCATGTTAAACAAGAACTGGAAGTATGTTACTTTGTTGTTTCATCAGAGTTTTCACAACCTATACTAATCTGAAGGCCTATTAATCATTTTAAAGTTACAACTAGCGCAGACAGTGTCATCAACATTCCTACTACCAATAATAATATAAAAATAAAAATACTTCAATTTTTATTGCATACCACCCTAAGTTTCTTTCACCAAAATACAATAAAGTTCAATAAACTGAAGTAATTCTATATAGTATGATGCTCAAAATTATTACAATATAACTGCCAGTCCTAAATGCCATTTCTTAGCATTCAGTGGGCAGTTCCTGTTTTGTGCACTTAATAACTGTTGAGCACTATTAACATCATTCTCAAAACTGTATCAACTGTCAGTAGAACTAAGAAATTGTAATGGTTCATGTGTATAGTCTCCTTTTAAGAGCAATGTTTTTAGCTAACTCCTGATCACAATTCTCAGTATGGCAAAGAAAGATAAAACCACAGATTTAAATCTCATGTTCACAAGAAACTGCTCTTCCAACTCAAATGAAAAAAAAAATACACTTTTACTTCAGAACTCTGAAGCATAAAGCAATTATTACTATTCTCTGTTCATTTCAAACCACTGTTTTAACAGTTACAAATTACAGAGAAAGATGCTATAAAATCAGGGAGCAGAATTCTTGAAAACTTGGAAGTTATTCAAAAAATCAAAACATTCTCCTCCTTTCATGGACCATAATGGGCCATTATCATGCATAAAGGAGCTGTCACTCTTCCCTGTACTAAGCTAGACCAATCCAATCCCCTTCATCACACTCTGATTCGCCAAGAAAAACTTGTGCATTACCATCCTATTAATATTATCCACTTACACCTCTGAAGCAGCCTACTTCTTTCACGATTTCTGATTAAAATTTTGTATGCATTTCTCATCCCTCCTATATATTTAACATGCCATGCCCATCTCTTCTTCCTGGCAAATTCAGATGCTGTCTGAAACTTTCTGTTAGGAATTACTGTATTCCTATGCATGACAAAATATATGGAAACTATGAAGGACAGGAAATAATTCTTTTCTATAGGCACAATGAAATCCTATATTTGTGTACTTTATTTCAATATTATAACAACAAGGAGGAATAAAACTGCAAATCCACTTCACATAAAAGTGAATGCACTATTCTGCCAACACTGTACATTTTAACTAGGGAAGGGTGTTTGCTTTGTTGATGGAAACTCTGACTCATGATAGTAAAAATATTAATGAGGACACTAATACAAGAAACAGCTGGTCATACTGGAATTTATAGAAAGTGGGGTTTGTTGTTCCATGGCAATAAACTCTACCAAAGCAAGTATTATTGTGAATAAACGATAAGAAATATACGTCAGTTTATTGTCTGCGAAAGTATTGGAAATGTTCTGCAATTTATGTATATGATAAAGTAAACTCATTTGCTTACAAGTTTTTGTTCTGATTGTGCAATTTTCCAGTGACAGTTACAACCAAAACTTGCTAAGACATTAAGTCTACAGTTTAAAACCAGTATTTTTCTCTCATTCTACACAAGAATCCTAAAATTCTAGCTGATAAGCATTGTTAGGCTTCATAACATCACTTCTCAGGACCTGAGTTACAATCTCTAGACTGATTGAAAGGTCATAATTAATGGACTATCACAGTCTGAACTATACTACAGTGAAATTAATGGATAGTAACCATTACAATTTCCAAGATAATCTACATAACTTTCTCAACTGTAAAACAATCGCTGCACTGAACTATCTTTCAAAACTCCATGTTTCTTGTATTAACTGCATCACAGAAATTAATTCTGTGTCCTATTAATAGCACATTTTTCATCAGTTTCTTCATCATCTTCATTGGAAGAGTCATCAGATGAAGAAGACGAGGAAGATGATGATACTAGAGCCGAGAGGCGACCAGCAAGTCGGGAGAGTGATCCTGAACCTTTTCCCAGTGCCATCCATCGCTGGTCTGACAATGATGACAAAGGAGAATTCTGGGGTGAGGTGAGCGGTGTTGTGGCTTCCTCCTCAGGAATGGAGTTCACAGTTGTGGAGCCCAACTCTAACATTGAGCCGCGGCGGCCAACTGGTGGACGTCTAGGTATACCCAGCATGCCTGCTAATGGCTCAGGACCTCCTTCTTCAATGAGTAAAACTGCACCAGGAGCAGGAGGAGATTCAGGGCCACTAGTATGGTGTAATGAAGACTCAGAGCTGGCACGTGAATCCTGTACTGAGCCTGAACTCTCGCGACGGAATAGTCCAATCACAGAAGCAATCTTAGGTTGTTCAATTCCACCTAAGAAAGAAAGAAAAGGAAAAACAAATCACTGAATACACCATGAGCTGAGGAACAGTAATTGATATAAAGCTACAAATCCTGAAATGGTTTCATTTTTTAAGCTTACTAAATCCTAAGATTACTTAATAACAAAAAGGGATTCAAGTTAGTTTTCCCAAGGAAAGAAGAGTAGAAATTATTTTTCATAGCTCTTTGCTAAATCATTTATTATAACAAGAATAACCTATTACATTTACCTAAGAATGTGGCCGAGGGTGAACTGTAAGCAAGATATTCCTTATTGGAGCACCAGGCAGGAAATTCACTCTGTTTCAGTGGACATGTGCTTTCCCCTTCATCGTCCCTTTTCCACGGCAACATGGTCTCAGTCGCAGTTGGGGTAGTCACCCGTGCACTCTCAGTTGCAGCGGCATTTGTCCCCGTTGCTGTAGGAGAACTTATTATCTGAATACTTACTTGCATAGTAATAAATACATTGACAAACCAATAACGTATTATAATAAATGAAGGGCAATTCTTATAACCAGGAATATAAAAATCTTACGATGGCTTATCATTAGCTGATGGCCGTGACATAAAATATTATTCTAGTTAACAGTCCCAGTTCTTATTATTTATATTGAAAGCAGTAATTCAATTATTTTTATACATCATTCCTCTGGTGTATGTCTGTGGTTACAAGATAAGAAAATGATATTACTAGATACTTATACTTTTTAAACAAGGAAAGGGTCTTCAATACATGTAATGAAATTAGTTTTGTTTGCTGTATAGTAAAATATCTTTGTATCCCAGTTTATAATTTGGAAACTGGATAGTAAAGCACATATTATTTTAATATTTTAGTATGTACTCAAGATTACTTCTACATAGCAACTTTTTATTATATTGTTCAGGTAATCCTTGCTATATGTGAGTATGAAGAATGGAATTTAATTTTGATGCAGTCAACTAATTTAGATCAATTTAAATTAATAGCACTTTCTTTAATGCAAATTGGTTGCTGGTTGAGAAAGGCATGGAGGAAATTGGAGCAGAGTATTTTATTGGTGGCACTGGAGAAATATAATGGGAGAATGGAAAATTTAGCCAAGCCATGTAATCTTTCTCGTTGGCATTCTATAAAGGGTCAAGGAAAGCTTCAATACATTATTTCCATCATTACTAAGTGGCTTTGTACACTAATATCATTGGGCATGTATGTATTTTTTCCATTATTATCCTCTTAAATAATCAAAATACTACAAATACTCACAGAATAGGCACAATACATGGAAATAAAAGACTGTTTGATTGCTCCTCTTTTTAAAGTTAGCTATTTAATGGCACTGTCATTAGAAAACAAGTGCCAAGTGATGGGATGATTAATGAAGGTGCAGCTGTTGGCAGAATGAAAATTGACAGAGCAAACTATTTGGTGAAAACCTGACCCAATGCCATTTTGTTCACCATAAAGTCCATGTGGCCTGAACTCGGATTGGTCCCAAAACTTACAAAACAGATAATAACTGTTTCTGTCATCTAAAAAACTATTTAGCAATGCTGAAAAGGCATTTTATTAACGTTGTGGGAACATCCCATCTACTAACGCGCTTTCGCCAGTCTAACAGACAGCACTCAACTCGCAGGCTCATCCCTTGACGCATGGAACGTACCAACTATGACCTGTGTGCGGATAATGGCACTACCATCCACACATATGGATGAACTTGGGCCTGTGCCGAGAATTCACGTGGCGGTTCGTGGTGGCCGACGTCACGCATCGCATCATCAGCGTGGACTTCCTATCCCATTTCGGTCTCCTGGTGGACTGTCGGAACAACTGAATTCTGGACGGGGTCACGACGCTGTCAGCCCTGTCCTCAGCGGCCGACGCACTGATCCCCAGCGTAAAGACCATCAACAACGACACACCGATCGACAACTTCCTCAGAGTTCCCGGACCTGACCCGCCCAGTCGGAGTCCAGCGCGACATACGACACAACACCGTCCACTACATTAGGACTGTACCTGGTCCACCAGTAACCTGCCGACCACGGCGACTGGCACCGGACCGGCTCGCTATCGCAGAAGCCGAGTTCAACGCCATGTTGCGGGATGGTACAGCTCGCCGTTCAGAGAGTTCCTGGTCCTCGGTACTGCACATCGTGCCCAAGAAAGACAATGGTTGGTGTCCATGCGGCGATTACAGAGCGCTCAACTCCCGAACCATCCCCGACTGCTACCCTGTCCGCCATATCCACGACTACTCCCACAGCTTTTCGGCTGTTCCGTCTTTTCCAAAAATTGACCTGGTGAGAGCCTACAAGCAAATCCCTGTCCACCCTGAAGACATATAGAAGACCGCCATCACCACTCCATTCGGCCTCTTCGAATTCCCATTCATGTCCTTCAGCCTGCTCAACGCCGCCCAGACCTTCCAGCGCTTCATGGACGACATTCTACGGGGACTCAACTTCTGCTTCGCATACTTAGACGACATCCTTGTCTTCTCCCGGTCATTCGAAAAGCATGAACAACACCTACGTGCTCTCTTCAACCAACTCCAGAGGTACGGGATAATTAATCAACCCATCAAAGTGCGTCTTCAGAGCACCCGAGGTCACCTTTCTCGGCTACAAGATGTCCGCCGAGGGTTCCGAACCTCTGGAAGACCGAGTGGCCCATCTCCAGGATTGTCCCCCTCCGAAGACTGCCAGTCAGCTCCCACGATTCCTAGGCATGCTGAACTTCTACAGGCCATTTCTGCCCCTCACAGCGAACACACAGGCACCACTGCACGACTTCCTACCCGGACCCCAAGTCAAGGTCTCCCACCCAATCATTTGGACACCGGAGCTCCTCATGGCATTCGAAGAGTGCAAGGCGAGTTTGTCACGCGCCACTCTACTGGCCCACCCGGATCCATCCGCGCCACTTGCACTCATCACAGATGCCTCCACGTCCGCCATGGGTACTGTGCTACAACAACGCGTAAGGAACACCTGGAAGCCCCTCGCCTTCTTGAGCCGAGCATGGACCGGCTCGCGTAATGAGTGACGTCATGGCTTCCAGCCATATATTCCGCGCCACCCTTTCTTTCACGATCCTAAGCTCACCCCCTCCTTCTCTCCAGACGACCACGTGATTTCCCTTTCCTTTCCACCCCTGTGGCTCGGGGGGAGGTATGTGCGAGAGCGACGTATTGGTCTGATAAGTGGATCCACTTGGGTAAGCACGTCTGGCGGACCAGCCAGGGATATTTTCTAAGTTTCGGTTCAGAGGGGTCTTCTTCCAAAATTGCGTTTCGGCATACTCGGGGGTCTGGCCACAGACGTTGGGGTTTACAGTCGCCAGCTATCGGGGGGATGGCGTGGCGGCGGTACGAGAGTTAGTTTTGTTATATAGACATATATATAATTTTCTTGAGGCCACCTGTGACTGAGGTTTGCTTAGCCTGTAGTATATAGACATGTAATTTCGTGATGCCGCCTGTGACGGACTAGTTCAGTTTAGTTATTCTATGTATTTGTCTTGATGCCGCATGTGGCTAGGAAGGAAGTGACCGTGTATTCAAATGCCACTGGGCCAGTGAAACTGGGCAGGTTGTTGAGCGGATGCCGCGAGGTGCGGATTAATGTAGGGTGGAGAAACTCAGCCAGGTTTATTCTATCTGTATATATATATTTTTTTGTGTATATTTGTCATAACTTATTTTTGTGTTTATTAAACATTGTTATTGTTATTTTGGGGTCTGTCATTGACTTCAATAATGATTATCCGCTGCAAACTTGGTTTCCCACGACGATCTTAGGGAGCATTCTAAACACGACGCGAGGGCCAGCGACGACGAACCGCTCCCGACTTCATCGACGCTTGGTGGTGGTAGGGTGAAGACGGGAGTAGTATCGGTTCATTCTTCTCAAAGAAACTTAACCCAGCCCAAGAGAAGTACAGCGCCTATGACCGCGAGCTACTGGCTATCTACGAAGCAGTCAAGCATTTCCGCCATATGCTGGAAGCACATCACTTCACCATCTTCACCGACCACAAGCAAATCACTTACGCCTTCCAGCAGAAGCGGGATAAATGCTCACCCCGGCAGTTCAACCATCTAGACTTCGTCTCCCAGTTCACAACCGACATCCGACACATCTCGGGACAGGACAACGTTGTCGCCGACGCCCTCTCTCGCGTCGAATCCGTCACTGCGCCACCACTCGCCGCATCACAGGACAGCGACGATGAACTCCGAGCACTCCTGGGGTCAACCACCGCCCTGCGGCTCGAGATACTACTAACCCCCGGTACCGCAGTCTCCATCTAATGTGACACGTCTACCGGGAGGTCTCGGCCGTACGTTCCAGCGCCTCTACGACTCCAAGTGTTCCAGTCCATCAACGATCTGTCGCACCCAGGCACCAGAGAAACAGCGAAGCTGGTCGCACAGTGATTCGTGTGGCCAGGCGTGCAGTAGGATTGCCGCACCTGGGCACGTGCTTGCCAGTCCTGTCAGTGCTCCAAAGTCTCCCGTCACACAGTCACTCCACTGGGTGACTTTACACCGCTGGCAGCCCGTTTTCTGCACATCCATATCGACCTTGTGGGACCCCTTCCAATGATGTTTTTTCTACTATGAAGATTATAGGTGCTAGATGGTAGGATGATAAATTAATAAGAAACAATTTAGAAGGAAGTGGTCATAGCCTAATTGAGGTACTACACCAGGATTGGGCTGGAGGGACTGAGGAAAATCATGGAAGACCTTAGTGAGAACAGACGGTGTCCCCACCAAGATTCAAAACAAGGACCTCCTAACTTGCAAGCATTACCTCTAGACCAACCTGTCTGGTGACATTATGCAAAATCTATCATTCTTCTTTCAAACTTAATAATTTATAAACAATTTATTCTTATTCAAGTGATATAAATACTGTTAAAGCAAGACACAAGATGTACTGTACTGCACTACACAACCAGTTAAGTAACAGCAAGACATTCTTATATACTTTGTAGCAGATCTCAGATATTTCCAGTGACTGTTAGAGGGAAGTTCTGATCAGTTATGAAATTTAAACTTTCTTGGAACATAACTGTTTCATAAATTGAGGAGTAATCTGTTGTCAGATTAGTAAGTCTTATCATTAAAAAGTAATACAAATGGTACTCACAACCATCCATCTCTTGAGAAGGTTTCTTGGTTGCTTCATTATTTCCAGAAGTATGTGTTTCATCTGCCAATACAGAATTAACATATGCATGATGCAACGTTATCACTGCAACTTACAGCCTTATTTGACAAGAATTCAAGAGTCCTATAACACGCCCCACAGTTGTTTGGAAATATCATACATCATAAGTGGAAGCCTGTAGGGTAGTAGTATAGCAAAGCATAAACATACCACTAGTCAGTTGTCAATCAACACTTATTAAAAATTTTGCTAATTCATTATGGCAGCTGAAGAGTGTATTCAGATATATATAAGAAGTGGGATAAGAACAACACTTACCAAAGATGCATGGATAAACAAAGACAGAAAGTAAACATTTATGCTCTTTATATTTCATAACATGTTACATAAATTCATAAAAATCATTATTATGTATGGCAACAGCTGGGTGCCTACATGTTTCCCCCTTGTACAAGAACACACTCATGATATATATATATCTGTAATAGTCTTTACATCTGAAAGTATGATTTGTTAGATGTAAAAAAAATTAAATTCGCTTAGTAGGGGGTGGAGTCCAGCTGGGTCCACTAGGCATGGCAGCCGCTGATTGGCCTACTGTACCTGTCCCGGGTGATTATGATGATAGAGAATTTTGTGGAATTAAGATTGGCAGGGGAAACCGAAGTATTCGGAGAAAATCCGCCCCAGTGCCACTTTGTTCACAACAAATCAAACTTGACAAGACCCGGGATCTAACCTGGGCCGCCACAGTGGGAAGCCAAGGACTAACCACTTGAGCTATGACCCGGCCTTTGTTAGATGTAACTGGTAGGTCAATGACACTTCATTACAATGTTCCTGCTTACAGTGGTAACAAGTTATTTATGGAACCAAGTGACTACTATGAAGCCCCCATAAACAAAGTCCTACATTTCATTTCAAGTGGAGGATTAATAAAGGGTTAACTGAAAGGGGAAGCACAACAGATAATTGAAGATCGCAGTAACTCACCCCTCATATATTCATTCATGCATACAGTGGTATGCAGTGGTACAGTGCATACAAACTGAACACAAACAGTGTCATTAGGTTGCGCATACAAAAATTTCTCTGCTTAATCTGGTAGAAATCCTCTCTTTATGGTAGAATACTATAAAGGTTTTCATATTTTGTTTATTTATTGTTTATTTAATGACAGTGCCAGCAGTTTAGAAACAAGTGCTGAAATGTAGGATAATTATTGATAAATAGGAAAGGATGTGAAGCGAACTGATCATGGTTTACATCAAGGTGCTGTCACAGCTTCAGCCTGGAAGAACAAGAAGGAAAACCCCACAGAAATCTTGAATCAGGATAATTGGTGTCCAGGCAAAGATTTGAAATGTGCACCTTCTGACTAAGAGTTAAAAATGTTACCATCTGAGCCAACTTGATCAGTCACTATATGGAAATTATGTGCATTTGTAACGAAATCTCATAATAATGAACATTATGAAAATAACAGAAAGCTTGTCTGTGTTTTACTTTTGTATAAACATGCCTGTTACATTCTCCTTACATGGACAAGTAAAGTAGTTCCTATGCACCATGCCATGAAGACAGATGGCTGAAGTGGAGATAGTGTTCTATGCATTCTGTATCTCACCACTAGACTCTGAGTGGTTACCTGCACCCTAGAGAGAGAGCCCCTTGTATCTAATGAATAACAAGATGGGTGGATGGGCATAACAGTCAAGAGAGGAATCCCCCTGTCTCTCTGAGATCCATTCTTTTGACATGCGACACCTTACACCATACAATTCATTTAGCTTGATATTCAGAACTCTCTTACTTAATTCAACTTTGTGATGGTACAGTTCTCTGAATGTAGGACAGTTCAACAGAGACCTTCTTGAATATACAAACACAAAGAGATCTATGCACATGGGAAGAATCATGTTGCCTGACCTGTGTGGAATTCTTGTACCATCTAGACTGTTCCAGAAACTGTTCAGCTAACGTCAAGGGCTCAGGTGGTCCCAGAACTTGTGATAATATTCCAGAAGGGTGGCAAGCCTCTATCAGTAGCTGTAAATCCCTTGTTACTGTAAATTCTGTTCAGTTCAGTATCTCAGAGGGTAGTTGAAATCAGAGGTGAGGCCACTCAGTGAGCAGTAGAGCTGCAACGAAGTAACATGTAAACCAACAACAGATAACAGAAGCATAAGAAGTTACAAACAGTGTTACAGTAACTGCTCCATGAATTTATAATCGCTAGAGTAGGTGTCAGATGTCGGATTGAAGATCAATCCAGCATTGCAAGCAATTCTGGAAAAGTTAAATAAGTTGATAGCCGGTCAAGAAGAACTCAAATAGGTCATAAGAGCCAGCCAACATAAATTGATGGCTGGCCATGAATAACTCAGAAGTAAGTCAGCGCCAGCCATGACAAACTTGCTGACAGCTAAGAAGAGTTTAGAAAGGACATGAGCGCTGGCCAGGACTGACTCAAGGGCCTCCATGAGGACCTTGACATCAGGATCCAAGGAACATGAATCGATATATAGGCGATGAAGTCCTTGGTAGAAGCCAAACAGCAGGAGTTAAAATCACAACCAGCAAATGTCAAAGCCACATTGGAGGCGTGGAAATTTAGCACACATAGCAGCCAGAGCAAAGAGGACAAAGCTGCCGAAGTTTGAAGGATCTATATCCTGAACTCGGTTTCATTGCCAGGCTGAGGCCATGGCCGAGCAGTCTAACTGGAGAGATCGGGAGAACGTCACACAGTGGCCATCTTGAAATGGCAGGCCTTCGATATCCCACATAGCGTCCCTACACACACAAGGTACGAAGTTATCATTGAGGCACTTAAGGACCACTATGGGGGCCACCAACTGGCTGTGGTGTACAATTCCCACCCAAAATCTAACATTCAACTTTGTGGCGAGTCTTTGCAAAAAAAAAAAAACCGCCAATGTTGAGCATTTGTCCCACCGTGCCCTTGTAGGCTACCCCAGTACTTCACCTGTAGGCAGTCAGCATATAATTTGTCTACAAGATAAGGGACCTAGAGGAGTGAAGTTTCCTCTCTTCATGGGTGGTGAGAGAACCTTGGGAGACCATAAGACTAGAGACATCAAGACGGCGCACAGTAAGGACCAGAGGGTGGATCGGGGGATAAATTGCAGAACTGTGAAATCCATATCCTGACAGTATGGGAGCATCAGCAATATTAGTAGACATTGCCAACGGGATTGCCTAGAAGGTCGACCTGGACCTGAGAAAGGAGCAGAGAATGATGCCAAGAAGGCTCTGGGGCCATCTCTCCAGCCACCTTGTCACACACTCAGGAAGGGTGGTGACAGCCTAAATTCTAAAGGCTGCATATGAACAAATCATGTCTCACAATCACTGACACCGAGGCATTAGTGACATTCGCCATGTGAGACATCATTACAGAACTGCCCAACAGGGAACTGATCCAGCTGATGGTGTCAGGAAAACCCTCCCCATCTTGAGAGAAGCATTGATAGAGTTGAACATATGGCGCCGCCGCTGACAACTTGGGTGTACGCCGCAAAATCACCGATGAGTTCATCATGGGGCTGGATGTCTTGCGCCAACGACGAGTCCGTTTATTTGTGGCACTGTGTGCTGCGATGGGTCTAGGAAGAGATGCCATTATGGCGCTTCAGGCCGTGGTCACTCCCCCTCCTACGCCACGCAGAAGCGAGGTAGTACCGACTCTGTGGGACAGCGTGAATGTAAGATTCGCTGCAGGCGATGGCTAGCTTAGCTGTATTGAGTTCCAAGCCTGTCCAACGAGTTGGTATGCCCTGGGCAAGGCCGCAGGTTCAACCCCCAAGGGAGTTGTCTATTAGAAAGGTTGAAGATCGCCGGTAGGCGGAAGAACACTAAAAGAGGCGCGCCCTTCACAGGGCCACGGTGGGTAGATTTACCACTGTAAGGAGAGATGAGCGGGACAACAGCAGCGTCTGGCCGATTATACATAGAAGGAAGGCTGGCCTACGTCCAAAGCGCATTAACACCATTCGCATGAGCAGTCACAGATGCAACAGGGAGGCGACTTCGGTGCCTACAGGCTTCTAGGGACAAGCAGCCTTAAGCGTGAGATAGGACATGCCATAGTTCAGGCGGTTAGTTGCCGACTTCCCACTGTGACGGACCAAGTTCAATCCAGGTCATGTGGGATTTGTGAACAAAGTGGCACTGGGGCAGTTTTTCTCCAAGTACTTCAGTTTTCCTAACCAATCCTCATTCCACCAAATACTCCAAACTCATCTTACACCTGGGGCTGGTAAAAAGAGTTCAATTTGTGGCCAATGTACCTAGTGGATTCAGTCTCACCTGCTCAATGAAAATAAAAAGGCTGGAGTAATGTAACATGATGCCTGAAAGTCATAATCTTTGAGTCACAAACGTTTCAGAGATGCCAATTCCTAGGCAACGTCAAGCAACAATCCCGGCAGCCACATATGTGCACAACAGTTGAGGAACTGTTGGGGCCACTTTCTTTTCTGCCACTTTGGTACAAAGCTGCAAATAGATGGCCTTCAGCCTACAGAGGTGTCACCATTGTCAGAAACTGAAATCTAGCAATGTGTTTATGGCTACAGACAGAGCTAACAAGCAAACTAACACAACAGATTATGAAATGATAGCGCATACTTGTATAACATGTAATTATTTGTAAACAAGATGCTTTAGTGTCCAACCAATCTAATTACCAATACGAACTTCATGTCTATTGAAATATCTAGGGACAATATTTCAGGATTGTAGGGAATGTTGCGTTGATACAGTCATTGGACCTGAACACGATTTTAGTGAATGCTAGACTCTTGTGTTGGAATGGAATAGTGGAAAGTGCTGCAAAGTCTGCATTATGCCTTCATCCATTGACTGAATTTGGTCATAATGTAGTCTGCATGATGTGTGCTACTTTAAAACAAATTAGTATAGCTGTGTGAGTTAGAATTTTTGGGGGCGAATTGAGAAAGAAATTTCTCGATCTCGACTCAAAAGTTCATTTTCCAGTCTCAAACTCCAATAATTTTCTGATACTTGCTTTTGCTTTGCATTGGGGTTCGATGTCCAATGGTATTGATATCATATTCACTCAAATTGAAGATCTGCGTTTCCCCCCTTTTTTAATTGCAAAACTACCTGTTCTTTATTTTATATGCTAAATATATATATGACGATTCCAGTCATTAATACTGTAGCGTGTCCGTGCCATAACTCATGCTATCGCGTTATGAGAGCAGCAAGCGAGAAAGTGAGAGGCAGATGAATGTTTGCAGGTCAGAAGCCACGAGATGCCATGAGATTGCTCGAAGTACCCCATTGGGTGGAAAAGGCTGTAATTCACCAGTTTATGTCAGAAGATTCCAAGTATCCCGCCATAAAAATGGTAGATCATGCCAAGAGAAGTCGTATTAGTGTGAATGGGAATATTGTTTAAAAATATAAGGCACTACAGTTATGATTTTTACTTCAAGATTATGATGATTAAACATGCAAAACAAATAAACATCTGTGAAACAGGAATAAAATACAGAACTTTCTAAGGCAAACATCCAAAATTTAAACAAAGAAATGGGAAAGTTATACCAGTTCTATACGAACACTGTCATCTTTGCAGATTCAAAGACAGAATTAAATGTCAGTTTCATGCAACATTGTTAAACTCAACAAGTGACAAAAGTGTAAGTCCAGCACAGAGTGTACTTGGTATACCACACGTGTAAAATCCGCTATCTTAAATATCAGGCAATGAGATTATGCCTGTGACTATACTGTTGATGAAGCTGGCAGACTATGTGAAAGTGGGATGGGATCAGATGTCAGATTAAGTTATGGATGACTAAATGCAGGAGGGGGGACTGGTTACAAGTTGGGTGGAACTTAAGACTAAGAGGATTATCAAGAAAGCAGAGACTGCTTGTGATAGATGCATTTAACAGTCATATAATATTGAATGTCAGATCTGTAATTCGTGCAGTGGTCACACTTGGGGGGGGGGGGGATGACCACAACTACACAATCTAGAGAAGAAGATATTTAAGGATCATTTGAAACAGTGCTAACTGGATGGTTCTATGCAGGAGGCCATATTGTGACATTAGTGGGACAATAAAGCCCAATGTAGAACTGGTAATGGATCTCTCCAGAAATGATAATCAAATGATTTTAAAAAGTGCTGTATATCTGATGAAAGGGACAGAAGAGAGGATGAGAAAATGAAGTTGGGAATATTAGCAGTAAATAGGAGAGAGTGAGTACTATATGTGAGAAGCTGGAAGTTATTAAGACACTGAATCTGAGGCAAGTGACAGAAATGGCAAGTAGAATGAAATAGGCAAAGCTGAATAAAGGTGATTTCAAGAAGGAAACTAGCTTAATTTTATGTATCACATGTTTTCTACTATTTATTTTCTTTCACATATTTTGAGTATGAGAACAAAATTAGTTCATAAAATTATATTCTTTATGCAGACATGTTTCCTTGTGCAAGACTTGTCTCACATCTGGAATCACTTTCAATTTTGGTAAATATGGCAGCACACTGAAAAAGTGGCTAGTGTTATAAATTGATAACATCAAAATATTCATCTACTGGAGCTCATTCTCATCTCGATTCTCGAAGTTTTTCCAAATTCTTTTCTCAATCTGAAAATATCATTCTTCAACGTGCCTACAAAGCACATTCCAAAATTGAGAAAGACCTAATGAGTTAAAGAGGTGGAGTCATATACATGTGACTATGAATTGAAATGTCATATTTTAGCAACAATAATCACATTGAAGAACTGCAATTTCTATTTTTTAGCTCATTATATAGACTAGAATTCACACTTCAGCAAAGTCCTGACATGACCAATGAAGAAAAAGAAAAATTATTCCTTGAAATACGTACTAATTAGAATATCCTTGAATTTCACGTTGAATGCTGTAACTGCTGACAGTTTTGATGCAACTAAAAAGGGGTGTCAACTTGAAGCTTATTTCTTGATAAATGAATAGTAGAGTATGCCTCTGTAATTGTTACATATACTGAAGAACAACTGTAGTTTCAACTTCACAGCATAATTACATACAGCATATCTTCTGGTGTTGAAGCACATATTTAAAAACTAAATGATGGGTAATAAAAGATATATAAAATCCTAAGACAGTTAATTAGAAGAGAACGCACCCAAAAGCAATACATACAACTGCATGAAAGAAAATGTAAATCACCAAGATATGAAGATTCTTACAGATAATACAACATGTCACACGGGCTGGCTGTCACATACTAAAAGCCACAAGTATATTTTCCAAATATTGTGTTAGTATTAGTTTTGTATAGCAATTTTGGAGAACTGTAATTATATACATAGGGCCTCTTAATACTGGTGTATTACAACAGCATTATGAACAATCAAGCCTAGAAAGAAAAGTGTGATATTCAGTTGCAAACGTTTTAGTGTGTGATTTGAGTTTCTCACAGTCGTGAACATTACGAATATGCCACAGGCATCATATCCTAGATAAGCATATATGTTTCACAGGAATTTTCTGCCTCCATCTTCTGGCTACAGCAGGGTTCCCCAAAACTTCGACACTTATTTGCCAAACTACCGTGTCATATCCAAAATGATTATAATATTAAACATTTTTTTTTGTAATTTACAGGTATTTTAAATATAAAATTATATATGAAATGTATTCAATTTTGCCTATATGAGTTCTCATAAAGATTTGCCAAAAGCCAATTCAATTATGAGAACGACAGTCACTGCATGACATCAGGCCTCAGTATATGGCACAGTTTTCCTAGAGCAACTACATCATATTAAATAAAAACTGCATTCTCTACATTATGTACATAGCAAAAGATTATCAGAGCATGCATGGCTGGGGAATGAAATCCTGCATGCAAAAGTGCTGTCCATGCACAGATGTCTACCAAACTTGAAGTGTCTTACCCAGGTTAAATGCAGAAGGCCTGACTGGACAAATTATGAAAATTAGATCTCCATTTTAAATATGTGAAAGGACAGGGAAATATATTAAACACAATAAGCCAGGTATATGACATCTAGCTTCAAATATTTAGAGATTACTAGATAATATAATCTCGAAGTATTCATGCAGACACAAAAAAAAAGAGGAAGGGGAAACTTTTACTCTCATTCACACAAGTATAAAATGACAAGATCATAAAATTATCATACTGAAACTATATTTGAGTATACTTGCAGTTTTAAATTCCACTGTCATCAGTTTGGATGTATTTACTACATTATTATTAGATTGGAAGACTAAAGTCTGTTTCAATAAAATTCATAAGAATTTTCATAAATATTTCTACGAAAATCCAAGTGTTACCTAAACTGCTTACAAAATGGTTTGTCCAGTCATGCTCTTCTTTTCAGTGCACAAAAACTTATCTCGGGAAGTTGTAATTCAAACTGACATATGTAATTAAGCAACACATTCAGATTCCAAGCGTGTGATTTCCAGTACAGTCTTTTACAGTGCATATGGCAGATTTTCTCTATGCTACCACATGCCATTGACAGAACTGTTAGCTTTTCACTTTGTATTTTTCCACTGATAAGAAAATAAAATTGGGGTATTCCACGTAAATAAAATGAACATACTACTTTATGTGAATGGAACAGAGAGTTCAACGTACCCCCATTTACGCCTCGTCTCCAAGGTAGGGAAACCTCAGCTACTGTGGGTGCATCATCGTAATCAATGGTAGGTTTTGAATACTGCTTGATCAGACGGGCTTTCCGGGGATTGGAACCCGGGAGGCTAGTTATTTGGGTCAACACACTTGCCTCTGGTGTTCCGCCAGCTAATCCCAGAGATTGACACAACAAGCAAAAACCAAAACTCAGCACTCAACTTTGTTCCTCACCATATTCTAGCAAGCACAGCAGTTAGTACACTGGGGATTATACACACACTCTAATATTATTAGGTTCTGTGGCACAAACATTTAGAATCAAATAAATTCTTTAATGTTTTTGTACCATTTGATAAATTCTTCATAGATATAATTCTGATAACACATAAAACATGTTTGTTTACCAAATTATTGTTAATATTTAAACACAATGTTTAAGCTGGGATATTGGAAACTACTGGCATACTGACATTTATAATGCCCCTATTTTCTATTTTGTCTAATGCTCAACAGATTACACTGCAGTAATTAAGCATGGCAAAGACAACTGTGGTATACTGAGGTAGCTTAAGATCTCCAGATGTAAGTATCTTGTTACCTAATGAGACATCAGGTAAGCAATAAATTGTATTCAGAACCTAAACACAATTCATCATGATGAAATTAATACATGTGCTTATTACTGCTACAGAAGTGCTCTGAACTTCAACCTCATTTGAAGAGATACTGAACTTCCTGTATGCAGGGATTCAGATGTGTATGGTTGAAGGAGATAAGTACATGAACATTATCTCTTGGCTGTCAAACCACAACTAAATGTCAAAAGAAATTCACTATCACAGTTTGTGTCTCCATCTTAATGGAAATGTAGAACTTTATAACTGAATCAAACGCACTAAATTTTGAGTCCTTTCAAGATGGTTGGCCCTTTGACAAAAAAAGAAAATCATGTATGAGGGCTTGTTGAAATTTTATGCAGTAGTAATGAAGTTAACATAAGTGACGCTCATAGTGAATTTGACACAAGTCATGAAGAAAGAATAAGTGATAAAGAATATGCACAATATTAAAGGGTTTTGTGAGCAGAAAATGACAGTGAAATGTACAGTGTGGATGATGCTGAGTGCTGAGCCTTCATTCAAGGGCGCAGTATGTAAATAGACAGTTAGAAACTGTCATGTTTTCTGTTAAGAAAGTAGTGATGGACATAAATGTGAATGAAATTATTCATTCTGCTGCCTCTTACATTCATGGATGCAACCTGAAGACTAAGCAGGAGTGGACATGTGGAGGATTTCACATGAAATGAACTGTATTCAATTCAATTTCACAACCATCATATATAAACTAGCCATTAAATCATATTTCAATCATGATCAATTTTTGGAAGCTTCTATTTTTGTTGAAATTATTACATTGGACAAGTCTGAATCCATTTTGAAATTCTTGCAGTTTGTGGATCATGACTTGGAATGCACGCAACTTTCATGGATAGAGGGTGTCACATGGTCAGAGCAACAGATTCCCACGACCTTTAATCTCGGTTTTCTAGACCGGAGCCGCTATATCTTTGACATAACTACTCACTTATCCTCACGAGGCTGAGTGAACCCCGTTCCTGACCCACTACAGTAAGAAAATCTGGTAGTGCCAGGAATCGAACCCGGGACCTCTGGATCTATAGCCTGGAACTCTGACCACTAGACCACAGAGGCGGTCTGGGAAACAGATATCATGATGGTGATACTTGCAGTATAATCACTAATTCACACAGTTTCATTGACACAAGTTGTGTGAGTATCCCAACTGTAGTTAATGGGCAGTAGCTATATGATCAGTACAGTGTCCACAAGACAACAAAACGAACAGACCATGTAGTAGTATGCAAAATTTGAATCCATTATTCAAGTTCAATGTGAATTTAGACATCAGTACAGAGTGAGATCACCTGATGACAAGAGCATCAAGAGATGGTACAAGAAATTTAGAGAGATTGTCAGTGTATAAAAAAGTCATTCTACTGTGCAGCCTTAGAAATCTGATGAAGATATGGATCATTCTAGGTAGGCTTTCATGTGAAATCTGAAGAAGTGAAGTCAATCTCCCAAGGAAATGCAGAGTTACAGATGCTGCAAATGACTGTCCACAGAATTCTTCGAAGAGCCTACATCTAAAGCCACTCAAAATAGAGGTAATCCAGAAACTTACAGCATGTGTAAACAGCTCAGAGTGCAGTTTACAGCACACATTTGTGTACAAACTTTGGAACACAATAATTTAAGTCATACTGTCTTGACTGTTGAGGCAAAATTTCAGAACTCTGTCATGACACACTGTGTCATGTGGGGCAGTTAGCCCCCAAAGATCATTTATAACATGAATGGGATAATTCTAAAGTCAACGTGTGGCACATACTGACACATGAAAGAGTCATGAGCCAGTTTTTAATCTACTTTTCTTATTTTGAAAAAATGATAGTAGGCTTATGTGATCTCCATACTGTCTGTGTATCCCCTCATATTTATTTCTGAATGCCTTATCCAATCATTATGAAACTTGGTACATACATCATTGCACCTCAGCCCATCACAACGGAATATTTCATAAATTCCTCCCATCAGTCTGTTGGACATGTTATTTTCTATGCTGTCTATGTCATATCAACAAAAGTAGGTGATTAGTTCTCCCCAGAACTTCTTCTTCCTTCATGAGAACAGCATTACAAGCAATTTACTCCTAAACATGCCTGAAAATTGTGCTTTTCCACAGCCCAACAGTCTTACTGCTCACTGGATGATGACCTGTTCCATTTTGCCCACATTATTCTCATACAGTCTGTGAATGTTTGAACTGAATTTCCCAGACTGATTAATAAGAAGAGAAGGACCAACAACATGGCCACCCTTATTCTTCCAATTTTATGCCTGACTTTTTTCTTTGGGGAAATGTGAGAGATCAGGTACACAGCAAAAAAGTGATTACACTGGATGAAGTCAAAGCATGGATCATATCAGAAACTGCAATGTTACAAAGCATCTAGACAATGGTGGAGTATAGGTGGGATGTATGCAGAGTCACAGATGATGCTCACTGTGAAATGTTTTGCAACTAACAACTTCTCTGCTAGTGTAAAATAAACTGTTTTGATTGATGGATAAAACACTGCACACAACACCATCTTATCTGTTTTCATTCCTAAGCTACAGGTACCTGAAATTCCGGTAATTCTTTTTGGTAAACCCTGTATCAAATTTTAACAAATACACTTAGCATATAAATTCTGGTACGTTCATTTTCTTCTGTATAATTATCTTGAAAACAAAAATTCTTACAGAAAAATTACTGGGCGTGTTTCAGTTTTCTCTACAATGTTTATTCTAAACATTTTTTCTTCTTATCAAAATTTACTAAATTTGCACAAGATAGGCTCCAAGTCTGTTATTTCTGTTCTATGTGAACCAAAAACTGGCATGGTTTATCAAATTTTCGTTAAATTCCCCAGTTAATTAATTCGCTTAGTGGGGGTGGAGTCCTGCTAGATCCAATCGGCATGGCAGCCACTGATTGGCCTATTGTACCTGCCGCAGGTGATTATGATGATGGAGAATTTGGTGGAATGAAGATTGGCAGGGGAAACCAAAGTACTTGGAGAAAACCCGCCCCAGTGCCACTTTGTCCACCACAAATCCCACTTGACCAGACCCGGGATGGAACCTGGGCCGTCACGGTGGGAAGCCAGCGGCTAATCACTTGACCTATGGCGCAGCCTAAATTCCCCAATATCAAATGTCATGAGAATTTGGTCTATAATTCCAGAATTTTCATGTGTACAAATGGACAGAATGGGCGATTTTAGTAGGCACTCTTCAAGAACAGAAATATGCCTAAAATTCAGAACCATACCTTATCAAAACAGAAGGGAAAAAAGATAGAGAAAATTGTTCAAAAGAATCTTGATTTTTAAGTACTGTAATGCACTGCAGGAAAAGATGTGTCACCTGAAATTCAGACTTGACCTTGTTAAGGGCAATAGTTCGAAGGTGTAAGAAAAAGCTTCCACACGCCATAAAAATTTTTGCAAAGTGGTTCTATGAAACACGTTTAATTGCAAAAGTCCTGCCCACTGTGAACAAGATAAGATTTTGGAACAAATGTGCTGTCTGTACATGGCACCATAATTTCTATAGGACATCGTTACATGGTACACAGATTGTGAAATTTTCCTTTGTTTTGAAATTGTTCCAAGGTATTCCACACCAGACTGAACTGCTGAAGTGGCAAGTTCAAGGGTTAATTTAATATGCAAAAGATTTTATTGCAAAGAGACATACTTCTATTCCATGCTAAATTAATCAATTTCTTGGTTAAAGACACACAAAATGGTACAGACAACTGCTGGACCAAGACTACAATTATGTAATTCCCATCAAACATAAAAACTCCACTGAGTCACACACACTGAAAACAATCCATATCAGAACTGAAACTTCCTGCTTAGGACATGCTATAAAAATACAATACAGAAGAATATTAACAACACAGCCAATTAAAAACAAATATCAGCATATATACGAGTAATTCCTATTACTTCACATATGTATTAATGCAATGTACAGAAGATTAACACAGATAATAAAAGGGCATGAATAAAAAACTTTCTTGGGCTTGCCAAATCCCCACACAGATATTAGTAAATATCAAAAACAGCTTTGCCCTGTAGCTGAGTGCACAAAGAAAGCACAGGCCTGATAGTTATAGTCTTTTCTATCCCTGCCTGTGTGACAGCCAATAGTATATACATAAGGTAACATTCAGAGGTAACATCTAAAACTACATTATGGAAGGATTCCATATCATGTGCAGCCTATAATTTTAAAACCACAAAAAGTCTTGTATGGAATGTGAGCCTTATTTGTGATGCAAAAATGGAAGAAATGTATGCTGAAAACCACTGTGGCCATCTTACAACGCTTGCCTCTGCACCTTCTAACTTTCAACTCACATACAGTGAACTTAACACTTTGTGAAGTCATAACAGAGGAAAAGGAGATGGAAAACAAAATAAGCTGATGGAATTCCACACAAAGATGTTCATCAGACTTTGTGTTACTGGTAAAATAATGCACACAATAATACTTTACTTGTGATGTTAATAGTGGAAGCAGAAGTGGAACAAGTACAAAATGGCTAGACAGTGTCAAATGAGACCTGTAAATTCTCTGAGTCCATGTATGGAAGGAAAATGTGCTGGGTAGGAACAAATGGAGGAGCACTGCTGAGGTGGTCAAGGCCTGCAAGGGGCCATATTACCACAGAAGAACAGTGAAGCAGTACAATAATCTCAATCCATAATATAGGAGTTATTTGCACAATGATAATAAGAATAACACAAAGTTAAACAAGTTCGTTTTCAGTATATGCAACAAACGTTGTATGCTATGTAAAGAAAGGTTATTTTTAAGAAAATATGACATATGAGAAACATAAAAAGCTGCACATTATGTACAAAAGTATTTCAATATTATATAAATAACTGAAAAACTGCAGAGAGTATCCACTCAATAATAAACACAATTCAAACATCTACTAAAAACCACAAGCAAACTCCAGTATATATACACAACTTCTCCAGGAAACAAGTTCTCAAGCAAATTCAGTACGAATACTGTGGGAAGGTGGATGTGCAGAAAGATAATGCAGCTTTTGGCACAGAATCGATAGTGCTCTGAAAGATTCAGTGGTGTTCAGAAAGCATCAGTCCATTTGCTCAGGAACATGTGTTTCTTGATCACTTTCAGCACACCGTAGCCACCTTCCCAGAGCAGACATACTGTAAATTGGGGACAATAAACTTAAAAGCATCAAGGCAAGACAGGTGACAGCAACAATACAAGAGCACTCACGTGAAGTCCTGGCTGTGAATGTGATGGCACTGTCCCAGTCTTCCTTGCTAGTAGACTTGGTGCCATCTCCATCATTCTCTGACTCCTGAAGAACCTCATTGATGTAATCTGAAGAGATTGAACACATCACAATTCAAAGAGCGTGTAACAGAGTGCCCTGAGGAACACTGTACTGTGTAGTCAGTTTCTGTTTATGTTAACTGACAGCATTATATCAATGGACGAATTATCACAAATCTATATCATTATTGACTATTCACTTACAACATTAAGGTTATTCAACAAACAAACCAACAGTGTAAACATAACTGTCTATCATGAATTAAATATGAAATCCAATAAGATAATTGATATTAGTACATAGAGAAACAGAGACAGATGAAAATCATATATACAGCACTGTGTATTTTGGTGCAATGAGATACTTAAATAAAAACAAAAATTATTCATAAGATTAACATCTTCTGGGATGTCACACAGTGTAGTTTGGTAGATACTTAATGACAGTTTGCATCTTCAGGGTAAATAAACGTTCATCCTGAAGATGGAAAGAGTATTTACATCTGAAACACTGTCACCTACATACTAAACTATATAGCATCACATCCCAGAATATCATAATATTCACTGTCATGAGAACCTCATATCTCACTAACAACTGTCATGTAGTACTGATTTTAAAAGATAAGAGGTAAAGGAGGAAAATTAAAGGTTCTCTTCCAAATTCTCACTTTTAACAGTAGCGTAGTTTGTGTAATAACCATCTGGCCGCGCCATAGCTCAAGCGGTTAGTCGCTGGCTTCCCACCGCGGTGGCCCAGATTTGATCCCGGGTCTGATCAAGTGGGATTTGTGGTGGACAAAGTGGCACTGGGGCAGGTTTTCTCTGAGTACTTCGGTTTCCCCTACCAATCTTCATTCCAGCAATTTCTCCATCATCATAATCACCCGGGACAGGCTACAATAGGCCAATCAGTGGCCGCTGTGCAGAGTGGACCCAGTTGGACTCCACCCCCCACTATGGGAATTAAAAAAAATTGTGTAATAACCAACGGGTAGTCTAACCTCTGATTTTTTGTATCAGTTAAAACATAATACTCGATATTTACCATGAGAAAATTGTTTTGCTGAACCATTCTGTGTGATTCCTGGGAAACTAACATGATTTTGTTTCCCATCCTGTAAAAAGAAATGACAAAGAAAATTGCTTGCATCATAAAAACCTCAACTGCTTCCAGTTTAATAGCCAATTAATTTATGAAAGTGCTAAATTATTAATATTTATATCAAAGCAATCTAAACTGCTGTTCCCAATTTATTATCTGAGTAATTTATATCAATTTAAAATTATTTGCATCGAAACCATCTCAGTTTTGTCTCCAGTTTATTATTTAACCAACTATTTATGAAAATTATAAATTATGGAACCTCAACTGTTCTTTCCAGTTTATTATTTAACAAATTATTTTATACACAATTTACATATAAATACTAAATTATTCAGGTCTCTATATCTCTGTGAAAAATACATTCATTTCATTATTTACTGCTTACATAATGATGCCACTGGTCGCTCACATAGTGTCAAATTGTAGCATTATTAGTGGTTAACAAATTAGGAAGGATACAGATGGAAGCGGTCATGGCCATATTTTATGGTATTATCCACACATCTGATTGGGTAAATTTACTTACTTACTTACTCATTGAGCTGAGCCCTTCTGGAGGAGCCGCCAATTCTGCAGCTACTCAAGAATTTCCCAGCATTTTATGGAACCCAAAGGTTCATTACCGTGTTCACAAGAGCCCTCCACTGGTCCCTATCCTGAGCCAGATTTATCCAATCCATACCATCCCATCCTATCTCTCTAAGATCCATTCTAATATTGAAGAAAGCAGTCTTCTGGGATTTGGCACCGTGTATATGTGGTGTTAACCGACGTTTCGGAGGAACGTATCGCCCCCATCTTCACGGTAGAAGAAAAAGTATAAGAAATCTGCAAGCGACAACACCGTGAGAAACGGTAAAGCAGACTCTAATATTGTCCACCCACCTATGCCTTGGTCTTCCCTGTGGTCTCTTTCCTTATGGCTTTCCCACCAATATCCTATACGCATTGCTCGTCTCTCCCATTCGTGCTACATGACATGCCCACCTCATCCTCCTTGACTTGATCATTCTAATTATACTTGGAGAAGAGTACAAGTTATGAAGCTCCTCATTATGCAGTTTTCTCCAACCTCCTGTCACTTCATCTCTCTTTGGTCCAAATATTCTCTGCAACACCCTATTCTCAAACACCCTCAGTCTATGTTCCTCCCTTAATGTCAGAGACCAAGTTTCAAACCCATACAGAACTTCATGGACCTATGCACTCTACAAATCATTCTACTGAATTACATGTAAAGTCTTGTCTTCACTCAGCATTGCTTGGGAGTTACTCTGCTTCGGTGCTCACATCCTAACAGGATGGCAGCTGGCTCACAACTAATTACTTTACTGCTAAATTGCTACTAGCCCTTGCCAGCAGAGGGATTCTTGGTTCCATGGGACTCAGGACCATATTTTACTCTCTGACAGTTCTGTCCTTGTTATATAGCCTCAGGTCAAACCACACAGAAAACCCCGCCTACAACATCTTCCACTGATGAACATGTATCTGCTGCCATGGATAAGTGTTTATTGAGGCGTAAACCGGTAGTGGGCGATTTCTTCTGGCCCCGTTATTCTGGCTTTCAGGTGGCATGTCACAATATGTATTGCCAAACACTGTCATTTCCATGTCATAGCAGGATGGCGGTAAAAGTGGTGATTTTTTAAAAGCAAACATTTTATAACACTTCTATTTGCTGATGATCACATGATCTTAACTGCATCAGAGAACTCTCTCCAGCAATCCCTGCATCACTTATCTGTTCTTGCCTCAAGTACAAATTGACTATTTTTACTTCAAAGACAAAAATCTTAAGCAATTAAAGTAAAAGCATCTATATAGACAAAAAATCAAATGAGGAATGAATAGATCACACAGAAACTAATTTTTTTGGGCTACAGGAAAAAATAAATGAATGTCAACAAAATTATCCTGAACACATCCTAAGAATGCCACCTAACCAGATTCTTCAGAAGCTGTTTGATTATCACCCAGAAGGAAGAAAGAAAAGAAGGTGACCACTGAAGAAATGGAGATACCAGTCAACTAATCCTGGGGTCAGAATAGGCCAAAGCCTTGCAGGATGAGGAGGATGAGGATGTACTTGGGAGTACTTATGAGATCAGTACTTGCCTTGCCTAACCTCTTGCTTCGTTTATGATGGTGCTTCCTTTCACCAACCATACGCCGTATATTCATATGCATGCGGTAATTGACAGGTTGTGTAGAGAGGTCTCGGTCGTTTACTGCATGTCGACTGTAGCTCAACCTCCGGTGCTGTATAATTATAAAAATACCAATAATTCATTAGTCAAATAAATTATATGTACTTTCAGTATATACTTAATGGTCATATGAAATGATGAATGTAATTAGTTGCACGTGCAGCCAATACATATCATTTCTTCTGGCTCCGTTATTCCAGTTTTCAGGCGGCATGTCACAATATGTATTGCCAAAACATTCTCTGGATACATAATACTGGATAAGGAGCTCTCTCACAACGTTAACAGTAATAGCACAAAATTCCCTCTCACACCAAAATTGTACATAATGAACAAGCTATCAGGTATGAACTACCTATTAAATCAATTGCACACTTATCCAGTAACCAAAAGAGCAAAACAAACAGAGAGGTAATAATTGTTGTAAATTTTATTGATATTTTTCAATGGGTTAAAAATAAAAGAACAAAATATGAACTGCTAGAATTTAAAAGTTATGATACCTTTCTCTGACCAATGACTCACTCCCAGCAACAGGCCACTGTCTTGTGCCATTCTGTTTCATGTGAATGTTCTGACCAGGAAACTGAAAGAGCACTTTGCACAAACATACTTCTCTTACCCTGCGATAGGGTTTACACAGCTCTTCTGCAAGTAAATGATGGATCCTGGCATCTGTCAAGTCCTTTTTGGATGGGTTGTACTCCAACTCCTGCATGTCTATGTTCCAGGTGCTTGAGTCCAATTGGCTGAAACTAGTGCTGCAAGTATACAATTCACATTATTTCAGTTCTGCTTCTCTGTTAAATAAACCAGCAAAATCTTTATGAGTGTTACAGACTTACAGACTTTCAGCACACCTACATTTCTGTATGAAAACACCAAAACATAATTTTAATAATTTCAACTCTCTAGATACAGAATATAATTTTCAATTAAAATTGTATATATGTTACTGTTAAAGCGTATAATTCCATTTTTTTTTCACAGAATATCTAGGTATTTCATGCAGTAACTAAGTGAGTAATGTATGATCTTTATTTACTGTGATATGTTTTGGTCATACATGACCATCATCAGGCAGGAATATGTATAGTTATTGAAATGCTGATATGGATTCTTATCGGTGCAACGCATTGTATTAAATATTAATATAAAAACTTTGCCTCAGATTAGTGTATAGTTAAAAATAGCAAACACATGATTAAGAATAAAAATAAAAAATAGAATAAAGGTGTACTATTTATAAAATGTTGAAATATTATTATAACATATAAAGGTATGTTAGAAGTATATAAAGGTATTAACAACTATACATAGGGTTAGGGTTCTGTAGGCCAACTAAATCTTATTTGGGGGGGGGCAGTATCCTGTTACAGTGTAGAATTAGGCATCTAGTTGTGTAGGTCTTGTTGCAGACATTGTATGTAATATGAGGCCCAGAGACAAGTTTCCAATGATGTACAAGTTTTGATGGTATGTGGGCATTTCGTATGGTATTCCCACGCTATGTATCCTGTATAAACTTGCAATGTGGCATATGTTTTTTATGTGGGAGTATACACGTTCGGTGTGTATGGTGTGTTCTACACTGTGCGGTGGTTTTGCTATTTGCCATTTTTAACTAGACAGTAACCTGAGGCAAAGTTTTTATGTTAATATTTAATACGATGCATTGCACCAATAAGGATCCATATCAGTAGTTCAATAACTATATGTATTGCTGCCTGATGATGGTTGTGCATGACTGAAACATGTCGCAGTAAATAAAGATTTAAATGTAATGCTGAAATATTTGTTGTGATGATGGTAGCAAAGTTCCTACATACTGTCACGTGCTGGGTGTATAACGTGACAAATAACTTCACGTCGTATTGGATATAGCGAATTTTATTTCACACTCGCTCTTACAATCACACCATTTACAATCTCACAATTACTGCCATCAGCAGTATCACAAATACTAGACTGCAATTAACTGGTTACTCTGGCTCAATCCTCACTGTCTAATCACTCACTACTAACTGACTGACTGACTCTTGACTAACTCGTAACTAACTCTTGAATAGTGTTTGCTGCTCCCTATTTAGCCTCGTTATGGACAACACAGAAAACAGTTACATAACAGGCACCACTGTTGTGTAACGTCGTGTCTGCCGATAGCCTAGCAATGCTGTTGGGTGTTGTTTACTGCTGCACAGCAACTGCAGCAATAATTGCCTGGTGCCGCAGCTCCTCTGCCACGTCACCGCGGGAAAGGGGGGTGTCCACCGAGCGTTGCACACTAATGGACAGAGTGGGGGTATGTGACGTCACTCGCGAGATCACAGAGTTCACGCGACCCCCACCTCCGGCTATGCCATCCATGTCACAATATTATACAGTACAATGAATGTCAGAAGAGGGTACTGTACCCTATGGGTGGCTCTGCCAGTGACTCAGGATCATGAGGAACAAACCACAGCTGCACTAACCTGCCATTAAGTGTACCACTCAGATTTCCATTGATGTTGCCTGTAGTATAATTGCGAAAGATGGCCGACATGGATTCAGTACCGGAGATGTTACCAATAGTAGATGCATTTCTTCGCATGTATTCCATTGCATCTTTCATTGCTAGTTTTGAGTATGTCTCCAGGATTTTAGGTTCTGCTCCCCGATGGTCTCTCAGCAACAATGGACGGATGAACTTGTTGTCAAATCTCTTGAACCTGAAAATTTTGAATTATCCCACTGAAATTTCAAGTTCATGCATTTAGTCCAGTACTGAACTGAACTTGACCATAAAACAAGTTCTATGTACATTCTTGCATTTAACTCTACTGGGCTGAACAAATTTACTGCGTAAAAGATATAGAGATAAATTTGCAAGAGTGTGGTAGAGACAGAAAAAACTGATACCAATGAACTCCAAAATGAATATTTGGAAAACTGAAAAATTCTACAGAAAAATGATTAGAAACCTTTCACCATTTTGTTATAATTCAACTAAACCATGAAAGCTTAAATGAGATACAAGTTAAAATAAGTTACAGATGAAATCAGCACCCTTCCGTCAATTTGTCTGTTCATCCATCCATTCATTATATAATACACAGTATTCATCCATCTATCCATCATCTTCTGTACTGCTGACACTAATAACAACAGAGGATAAACATAAATATAAAACCTGTGTGATTTCAGGATTGAAAACTTGGAAAATGTATTAATTTTGCTGTCACATGCACAAAGAAAATTGTTTCCACACTGACAAGGAAAACATGGGAGGGAACCATGGTAACAATGAGTACTGTTATACACTAAGCAACCACTGAGCTACTTTATAATTTAATACAAGCACTTATATTTTAGTGAGAGGCACGGCAGTACACATATGGTCATGGAAAACAGTTGTTCTGCTTAACATTGTCATGTAAGCTTCTGAAGCACCTGATTTTCTTTGTGAAGATGAAGGTGAGAGGTGATGACTAATTATGGAGCAAGGCTTAAATGATAGGGGAGAATAAAGACATAAGTTATCACTTTTACTTTCAAAACCACAGGAAGCCTGGACTTCCCCATCTAATAAATTACCCATAACTGTTATTACAGAATATGCAGTCTTCACATATTTTGCAGTAATCGTGGTAACAAAGTAGTGTTGCTCACTCGACAGCTATTGTCAACAAAGTGAAAATCTAGGCTCAATTTATCCCTGCAGTAACTGCATGGAGGCCATTTCTCACCGTATATTACTGCTCATTTTCAAAGCCTTGTAACAGTTTTGAAACTATAACAACATTAATATTATGTTACCAGATATCCTCATATAATAATTAAAACAGTGAAAAAGAATTATTTATTACTGTATACAAAGAAAATGGATAACATCAGTTTTCTAAACAGTTTATGCACAGATCAACACATGCCTATTTCTGGCACTTGCAACTCAATCTCATCACACTGTTGCAGCTTCAACCACATTTGAGACACTGATCTTCTATATCCATGCTATTTTGGGAGGGGTGTCCAGTTGTAGGCTCATCAGCTCTAGTAACATTTTGTTATGTCTTCAGAGTTCTGCATAGATTGGTGGAACTGTATATCTCTGTTGCATCTGCAGCTTTACCATTTAGCATGCAATGTTTTGCAAAAAAGTCCATTTTCTTGATGCCTTAGTCAATTTTATGATTGGCCTTGCAAATACAATGAGCACTGATTACAGCCACATTTAGAAAAAAAAAAAAACTACAGGCCAACGCCTCATATCCCATACCAACAGCATCATCATGATGCATGACTGTCTCAGCAAGTCATGGAAGCCTCTCATCTGTTCCCTAAAAAATCCCCTGGGACATGATTCCAGATCCACAAGGCTATACAGGCCATGACCGACTAACATAGCAACCCCCCCCCCAGCTTAAGGGTTAGTGCCCTCCCTTTAACCTTGACTTTCTCTCCCCCGACACAATATCATATACAAAACCCTGCTTCTGTCCCAGCCCCTTTCCCCCCTCACTCCACTGATTTCCCATGTAGACTTGGCCCCCCTCCCTTCACTGCACTCACATAGCTGTGTGTATTTCCCACACCAGTCTACTTGTACCGGTTCTCACAGTCTCTTTGCTTGCAGATTTCTTATTTTTCCTTCTACCCTGAAAATGGAGGCGATACGGTCCTCCGAAACGTCGGTTAACACCACATATACACGGTGCCACATCCCAGAAGAGTGCTTTCTTCATAGCCCCAAAAAAGGTTTCTCCATTTTGGAACAAAACAAAACCAGAGCGCAGTCTTCTTGAAATCTGAACACTGATAAAATTTCTCTCCTCTGCTTATTCAGTAAAAATTCTTTTGGTATGATTTATTTTTACGAAGCATACCAACATATGTAAGCCGTTCTTTGAGTAGATTTTCAGTGAGGGGCATGCTGATGAACACTTGCCGCCTGTAATATCTGTTTTCGTCCCACAGACCGGTTCAACTAATCACATTACAGTAGTACGAGTATGTCCACAGTTCTTTGGGCTCAGTACTGAAGCTTTGTCCTATGCCACTTCATCTCCTCACCTTCTTCTAAATAACAGTCTGCAGTTTGGTCCTAATTCTCGTCGTCGTCGTCATCATCATCATCATCATCATCATCAGATCCCTGTCGCTTGGAAGCTGCATGATGATCACTTTCTGAGACATGGTCTACTTGTCATTATCAGAAATACTTCATTGCTAAGTTCACTCAGCCATTTCAGCACTACATTAAGATCCTTTCTGCACTTTCTGTTTCTTAGGTGGGGAATTTCCCAAAACCAGAAACCTTTCAGCTGCAGAGAGTAACTGAAATACCTAACAGGATACCAGCTTGGTGTTACTGGTGTCTGGATTTTGACCATCATCTGCTATTCTAGTGAACACAATGTTTCAGAATCTGCATCTCTTCTATCCTCTGTTGGGTCTCTTATGAAGAGCTAACCTCAGTCACTGGACAACCTGTGTCTCTCTGGTCTGGTAAATTGCTGCTGGCCCTCACCAGCACAGTCAGTTTTGTTTCTGAGTCCCGTTAGTTTACTGTGTTTTGGGACAACCTGTATCAGTACAACTATAGCCGTATGTATACCTGAGACCATGGTGTGTCAATGCAAGTTAAGAGGAAAGTGTACAATAAATATTGTGATTATGCACATAAGGACCTGAAATTAACATAGAAAGGGAAGTATAAATTAAATGTAACAAACATAGCCAACAAACAAAACCCATGAATTAATGGTAATTATTGACTTACAAATAATTGTTTTATTTATTTGTTTATTTATTTACAGGATACCTCCATATGAAATTTTACAAGCCTGGCTCCAGTTGTTCATTAGTTATCGCCATGAGACCAAGTGCTTAAAAACTTTTTTCCATGACTGATGTTTTATTTTATATTCCACAAAAATATTAGATCAACAAAAGTTGTGTACTTTTTAAAAAATTAAGTGGTATTAGTGTTGTTCCAAGCACATAAATGTGTGTGTCTCATCATGATATTATTATTAAATGTAAGAAACAAAAAACCACGACGTTTCGGAGACTGGATCTGTCTCCGTCTTCAGGTGGATA